GGCCAATCTACCCGAGAGATCAGGTTTATGGAGGATGTTTCGCAAAGGGAAAATAGTCACCATGGCTATCGGGTGGCATTGGAAGTAGGGCTTCAACTTTCGAGCGGCGACTACGAGAGCTAAGGCCAGTTTCTCCAAATATGGGTAGCAAGTTTCTGCTCTCATTAAAATTTTACTAACTTAATAAATTGGAGATTGTGTACCTTCGTTCTCTCAGACTAAAACTGCACTTATCGCAACTTCCGAGATCGCGATATAAACTAGCAACATTTCACCTTCTTTTGGGTTTGAAAGCAATATAGGGCTTGACAAGTACTTATTTAAATCCCTCAAAGCGTGTTGGAACTCCGGGCTCCATTCGAAATTATATTTCCTTTTGAGCGATGCGAAGAAACTATGATACTTTTCTGATGTCCGGGAAATGAACCTACTCAAAGCTGCCAATCTCCCCGTAAGCCTTTGGACTTCCTTCATGTTTTATAGTTGGTCCGAGATATCTTCTATGGCCTTGATCTTATCAGGGTTTACCTCAATTCCCCTTTGTGATACGATAAATCCTAGAAACTTACCAGAGCTGACCCCGAACGGGCATTTCTCGGGATTAAGTTTCATATTATGTTTCCTTAGGATGTCGAAAGTTTCTTGCAGATGTTTAAGATGACCATCTGCATTTAAAGATTTAATGAGCATATCTTCTATATAAACTTCCATAGTTTTTCCTATTTGATTTTCAAACATCTTGTTCACGAGCCGTTGATAAGTTGCTCCGGCGTTTTTCAACCCGAAGTGCATCACATTGTAGCAATATATACCGAAGTTTGTTATAAATAAAGTCTTTTCCTGATCCTCCGGGTTCATCTTAATTTTGTTGTACCCAGAATAAACATCGAGAAAACTCATTAACTCGTGCCCGTCTATGGCATCGATCATTTGATCGATGTTTGGCAGTGGGAACGAGTCTTTCGGGCACGCCTTGTTAAGATCTTTATAATCTACACACATGCGAAACTTATTGTTCTTCTTAGGAACTACTATTACATTAGCTAGCCAGTCTGGATATCTTACCTCTCAGATCGAACCGATACTAAGTAAGCGGGCTACATCTTCTTTGACAAATTTATTCCTGGCTTCGGCAATTGGGCATTTCTTTTTCTTATCGGAAGTATGTTGGGATCCAAGCTTAACTTGTGTACAGCTACCTCTGTCGGGATGCCTGTCATAGCCTCATACAAACATGCAAAACAATCGGCGTTAGATTTAAGAAATTTAATAAAGTCGGACCTGAATTCTGGGTGCAGTCCTGTCCCCAAGAGGAATTTCCTTTCTAGGAATTCTTCAAACAATGCCACTTGCTCCAGCTCTTCCGCTGTGGACTTCATTGCATTGGTCTTTTCTGGAACTTGGAAATATCTCGGCACCTGATAATATTCCGATGCCTCTGCCCCCGGGCTAACTTCATCTAGTTTGGGAGTAGGTCCCGATCCTTGTAATTGCTATGCCACGTGTTCCTTTCCATTGCTACTGGATACTGAAATTGCATTCATCTCCCTTGTCGCCGGTTAATCACCCCTTATCTGCTTAATTCCTTCGGGCATTGGAAACTTCAGCAATTAATGATATGTTGATGGTACAACTTTCAACTCGTGCAACCATGGCCTTCCCAGAATGATGTTGTATCCCATATCACCATCTACCACTTCAAAAAGAGTTGTTTTCATTACTCCTTCAGCGTTCGTGAGTAATAGAATTTCTCCCCGGGTTGTCACATTTGCGAGATTAAATCCGGCGAGGAGCTTTGTGGCTGGAATAATGCTTCCGGTGAGTTTAGCTTGCTCCAATACTCTCCATTGTATGATATTAGCCGAACTTCCTGAATCCTCTAGAACACGTTTAATTCTAAAATCTAGCATATTTAAAGAAATTACCTGTGCGTCGTTGTGTGGTAGCAATAATCCGTTTGTGTCCTCCTCTGTAAAAGTGATATCGTCTTCCCAAAGCTTTTTGCTATGCGTTATTGATACTTTCATCTTCTTTACTGCTAAAAATGTGACCCCGTTAATCTCGGTCCCTCCAAAGATCGTGTTGATTGTTTGACGTGGGGGATCTTCTCCTGCTTTCGAGGGTTCCGCGTTGTCCCAGTTACGACCATAAGTGTTCTTAGCGTGGTCACTCAAGAATTCTCTGAGGTGACCATTATTCAATAATGTTTTCACTTCTTCCTGGAGGTGTCGATAGTCCCCTATCCGGTGGCCATTCGTCCGTGGTATTCACACCATAAGTTGGGATCCCTCTGACTGGGATCAAATCTCATCAGTTTCAGGAACCGTGCTTCTTTGATGTTTCTCATGGCCGACACCAACTCCACTATACTGACGTTGAAGTTGTATTTCAATAACTTGGGGTAAGAATGATCTCGTGACCCTCACACTTCTTTATCTTGCAGTGATCGATTGTTCCGACCGCGATCAGTCCTCTCCTCAACGGCGAACATGTCCGCTGTCCAGAAACCTCTGCTGGGGCCTTCGGTCCGTTCGTAGGGAAAAAATCATCCCCTCGAAGTCCATCTGTCCGTGTTATAATCATCCTTTGATTTTTCTCTGTTCTTTTCTCGTCCTTTGGTCGACGATGGAAAACCAACCTGATCATCTTCGATCCTTATTTTTGATTCGTACCGGTTGTGGACATCTGCCCAGGTCATTTTTTGAAACTCGAGTAGGCTTTCCTTCAATTTCCAGGAAGCGTCTGAACTCCTCGGATTGAATCCCTTGGTGAATGCCTCAGCCGCCCATTCATCCGGAACAGCCAGGAGTAATATTCTCTCCTTCTGGAATCAGCTAACGAACTCTCGTAGCAGCTTGGACTCTCCTTGCGTAATCCTGAATATGTCGGCCTTTCAGGCCTGCACTTTTCTAGACCCGTCATGAGCCTTGATGAAAGAATCCACTAGCATTTCAAAGGAGTCTGTGGAATGCTCGGGTAACAGCGAATACCACGTCAAGGCTCCCCTCGTGAGGATTTCTCCAAATTTCTTTAGCAACACAGATACAATTTTGTGAGGATCTAAATCATTTCCCTTTACCACCGTTGTGTAGGTGGTAATACGCTCCTGGGGATCTGATGTTCCATCATACTTTGGCACTTCAGGCATTTTGAACTGTTTCAGGATTAACTCTGGTGCCGCACTTGGCTTGTATGGAAATTCAATATACTTTTTCGAGTCCGTACCTTTCAGCATTGGTGGCGCGCCCGAGATCTAGTCCATGCGGGCGCTCACTTTTCTCATAAACCATAAAAGTTTATTCTTAAAAGGATCATTCTCGTTATTGAGGCCGAATCCGCTCCCCATGCCCCATCGGAACCAATTTCACCCCTGGGAGTGTTGTAGTCAACCCTCTGCGTTGTTTGATCTGCGGGAGCCCCGGTAGGAATCGGATCTCGTCTGTTTGCATTATTTGAAGCTCCCGACAGCGCTTGCTTCAACTCCGTCATAACCTTATCATGTCGCGTAAGGTGGCATAGAATGATTGACTGTTGCTCTTGGAAGACCCTTACCACGTCAACGACATGTTCCTCATCATCATCATTGGGAGTTGTGTCCCGAACACGTCGAGGATATTGCCTGTCATGCATGTGGCAGTATTTCCCTTATTGTGGGTGTCACTAATTGAGTCCTCGAAATGAGGTTGATCCCATCGAATCTCGGGGTTGTGCATGTTATTAACAGTGTTATCTGCTATTTCTTATGATTTTTTCTAAGATAATAATCAAAACACGTTAGTTAAAAAGGCAAGGATCAATTTAATTACATGGTTGTCGGGGGCCCACAATGGGCGCTAAACTATTTACTCGTAAAACGGTGCGGTTAAATTTATACGTAGTTTCTAGACAAATAAATTAATTTAATTCTAAAATAATAAAATAATCGAAGAATTATGGAATACTTAGCCTTAGGATGTAGACGAAATAACAGAAGCAATAGTTCCGAGAACAGGATTTTTGGGCACAACAACGACGAAATCAAAAAGTAAGAAGATAAGATGGTATTAAGCTTTGTATAGATGTAGCGTAAGTTTGCGAGAAAATTCGTATCCTTTACAATGATAACTGAGCTCACTATTTATAGCTATGTCTAGGGAAGAAGGTCCTAGGATCGTGCCCTCCTTTAATGTCAATTATGAGGGACATTGATGAAGATATAACAGTAAACATAAATGCCAAATTCCCTGTAACGGGTAATTGCTCTTAATGCCATGGAATGTTCTCTATTAAATGCTACCGAGCGAACAACATTTATCACATCTTTATAAGCATTATTCTTTCCGGTGACAAACGAAACAGTTGTCTTCGATCTTTGGCCATCCCCCATCTTGGGTTCCACGCGTCCGTTTTTTGGACGGTCACGTGTCATAGCATATTTTACCCTATACAATTATTGATTTAAAATAAGATTTTAACCAAGGTAACTATTCACATCAATCAATAATCAAAATGTACACTTGGAATATAATTTCTCCTATATAATTATTGATTTTAAATAAGATTTTAACCAAGGTAACTATTCACATTAATCAATAATCAAAATGGACACTTGGAATATAATTTCTTATCTATATGTATATTAAGTTGAGTAATTTAATTTTTCAACTTGCACAATTTCTTCTAGCATTTTTAGTCGTATAAAGTAAGAATTATGTGACTAATGTTTGGTAACAAGCTGATAACAAATGATTAAAAAAATTTCCTTATCTTAATAAGAAATAATAATTATTTGAATTGCATATTCATATTTAATAGGAATAATTTTAGGGGCCTAATTATCTATTAAATAGAAGAAATAGAATAAAGGACACTAAAAGAATAGGGAAAGAAACTTGATACGCAAGACTCCAAGGGAAAATAACATTTACTAATCCTATTCCCAATCAAATTGGGTATTAATTCGGCCTATTTAACTCTGTAAACATTAAACCCTATAATCCCAACAAATTTCATTCTACAAAATGTCTCATACAACTATGTTGCAAATAAGAGATCAAGTGGCCAGGCATATGGCTACAACAGCTCGAATGAGTGTCAATTATAGTATCATGCCTCATTGTTCGTGGGTCCCACCATCAGTTCCTTATAGTATTCTTGATAAACTTGATGCAGAGATAGAAAAAGAAGAGTTTGGGGTTGACATATATGATAGTCTTGATAGAGAAATAGAAAAAGAGTTTGGGATTGACATATCTGAGTATTTAGAAACAAGAATATTTTATGCTCCAATGTGTGAAGATGAAGAAAAAGATGCATGTTTCATCTGTGCATATGAATATGAAGATGATGATATCATTGGCACACTTCAATGTGGCCATGACTTTCATGCAGATTGCGCCAACAAGTGGCTACTGACGAGGACGAATCCGTGTTGTAGCGATCCAGTTCTGCCCATCCATGATTAATCTTGTGAATTCAATGATAGCTC